GGGACAAAAAAATAAGGTGTATGGGCTGGCAAAATAGCTCAGTGGATTAAAGCGCCTGCAAGCAGGCTCAGGGGCTGGGGCTTTTTTTTTTTTTTTTTTTTTTAGGGGCTGGGGCTTTGATCATGTACTTCCTATGCTTCTTTAAGCAATGGGTAAAAACTTTAATCAAATACAATAAATAAAATTTTATGCCTTTTAAAAAAAATAAATTTTAAAAATAAATATAAAGCCTTCGAGTTTATCATTGTTTATAGGTGAGTAATACTCCATTGCATAAAAATACCACATCTTTTTCATCTATTCCTCAGGTGATGGGCATCATGGTTGTTTCCAAGATTTGGCTATCACAAATCATGCTGCTATAAGCATAGGCACACATATATCACTATGATATGATATTTTCAGATCCTCCGGGAAAATTCCCAGCAGGGGAATAGCTGGCTTAAATCAGATTTCCAGTCCAAGTTTTCCCCAAAAGTTAAAGGCCCAATCCAGAAATGGACATCCAAGATGAACACACACTTCTCAGAGGATGAAATTAAAAAAGCGAATAAATACATGAAAAAATCCTCCACATAACTAGTCATCTGTCGAATGCAAATTAAAACAACATTGAGATATCATCTCACCCCAGAAAGAATGGCTATCGTAAAGAAAACACCCAACAACAAATGTTGGAGAAGCTGTGGGGAAAAAGAAACCCTTCTCCACTGCTGGTGGGAATGTCGTCTGGTGCAACCATTATGGAAATCAGTGTGGAGACTCCTTAAAGTAGGACTGGAAATCCCATTCAAGCTGAAAAAGTCTTATCATAGTGATACATGTGTGCCTATGTTTATAGCAGCACAATTTGTGATAGCCAAATTTGGAAATAAACATGATGCCCATCACCTGAGGAATGGATGAAAAAAAGTTGTGGTATTTTTATACAATGGAGTATTATTCAGCTATAAAGAATCATAAACTTGAAGCATTTATATTTAAGTGTATGCCACTTCAGGATACTCATAAGTGAAATAAACCAGACCCATGTGTGTAAATATCGTATAGTCTCCCTAGTATAAGAACTCAAAAGAAGAAATACAAATAGAAAGGTATAACACAATTAAAAGGAAAGTGAGAACTAGAGCATTAGACAACAAAGAGAGGGCGAGGAGAAAAACTAGGAAACATGACAGGGGCAAAGTCATACATTTATGTGCACAAGATAGCTAAGGCAATGATGCTGAGAAACATTAGCAGGTTTTTGAAACTAACAATTGATTGGTAGGATTCTCACCCTGACTAACTATATATGCTGATACCTATGAACTAAGCTACTGCACTGAAAATAGCAATGTGTAATAGCAGGGTCACGCTTGGAATGCCTAGAATTCTGGTCTTCTAAATACATAGTTCTTGTCATGATATACCAATTAGTACTATACTGTCTCACAAGTAAAAGGTTTTTTTTTTAATGGGTAATAATTTTTTTTAAAAAGACACAAGAAAAAGAAAAAAAAAGTCACTGAACTGTCCTGCTGCAATGCTGTATATTGTTACATTTCTAAAATTCTATGTAAAAAATATGTATTTATTCCTATTTTTTAATTTTTTTTCTTCATAGTCTGTAAGGACTTGAAGTTCAACACATCAATGCTTTATGGAAAATACCTGTTCCACGTTATGCCTAAGATGTTTGATATTTAGACAGTTAGGGTAAACCAAACTACAAATGTTTCAGGGTAATAATAAACTTCTCTTCTGGAGGGTTAACAACCTAAGTTTTCAGATCAAAAATTAGAGAAAAGGAAGGGCTGTAAGGTCAGCCAACATTTTGGACCTAGCCTTTCAAGGTCAGTAAAGATTCAAGACATAGGAGAACATATACTGTAACATCATATAGCTCAGTTGTGTCTCAAATTTTCTGATCAAGGAGATTATGGAGACACAGAGGAATGTGATTGATGATGTATAGTGTACGTAAGGAGATTCACATGGAGAGAAAACATTCTCTCAGGCTTTCATAGAAAGCAAATTGGTCAAGCAATGGCCATGACTCGTCCACTTGGCTGACACTGACAAAGGATGTGCAAACTACAGTACAGGGTTACAGAATAAATCCTGAGGGAACTTGTCTGACCCTATCAGATACAAAAGTTACATTTCTTGTTATATAGGTCTTGCTTTATCTTGGTCTTAACCATCCAGCAGAAACGTAGAAAAACGAGGTATATAAAGTAAAGCCATTATTAATAAGCCGAGCTGTGAAAGGCTCTAGTCAACAACTTCTGTGGATAACCCACTACTATTGTGGATTGCTGGACTGTGTTGGATTATTTTGCTGAATTCTAGCACCTATAGTATTTAGATCCTAATAAAATACCCATCTCTGACAGGACTAAACAAAAAAAAGGGGATACGAAAGAAAGACCATTTTGTATTTGTATATACAGAATAGTTGGGATAGATATACAGCTACTTTCACTTAATTCAATGAGAAGAAAGATTTGTAGTAATAGTGTTTAGACAGGATATCCCATCTGCTTCTTGTACTATGGATAACCACTAAGAAGATAACAATGTGCAATGTATTAATTATTGAAAATGTCCTATTAATCACCTTTGAAACTGTC